GAAACGATGTCTATCTTGATTGTGCTGTTACATGCATGGATACGTGTGACAAAAATGCATCAGACTCTATATATTTGTAATGGGTATATAAGTACCTCAACAAATTTGACTTTTGTCAGAAATGTACTATGTCAAGCTGAAGGGATCGATGATGTCAAAAGCATTGCCTTTGGAGTCAGAATAATCCAAGTTCAAGTTTTTGCACCATAGTTTAACAGCTATGTGACCACTGTCAAATCACTTTTGGATCTGTCCCCTCATCCCCAAACGGGTTAATACTACTTGCCTCATAGATTTTTAAAAATTAAATAAGAATTGTAGGTAAGATACAAAGTATTGTATGACATCTGGCACGGAAGAAGCACATTCCCCTGATTTCAGTGAACCAATTAAAAAGTATAATAATTTAAGAAAACGAGTAAAGATCAGAGAACTACACTATTTTCTTTCACACTCTTCTGAAATACTCTGACATGCTTTGCTCACTATTTATTGTGGTTTCACCTGACTTCAAGCGCTGGCATCCAATTTCAGTTCCTGAGGTTTCACAGTAACTTGGGTCTAAGAGCAAGCACCGTGAACTAAAATTTCTTTATAGTTTCCAAAAAACACTTCCTGACACATTTGTTGTAAAAAGAAATATGAGAAGAGCCAAAAGTAAAAAAGTATCAATTTATCTAAGCAAGACAAATAGCAATAGAAATTGTATAATATTTTAATTACCTTTTATAAAGAAAACCCAATAAAGTTAGCTGGATGTTTTTCCTTTTAGACTAGGATTTGAATTTTATCCAGACCAGTATCCAACCAATAAAATTGCAAAATGACACAGTCCAGTGACTTATCCATGTGTTTTTACAACAGTAGCACGTGACAGACAAGATAATACTAAATTTGTTTTATCTTATAACTATGGGTATTGAGTCTGAGGTAGATGAAGTGGCTTGTTCAAGGACACATGACCAAGAAAGTCTGGATCTGAAGTCCGAAAGGCGGCTCCACATCATGTGCTTTCAGTAGCCATCACCATCAAGAATCATCTTGGGTTCTCTGGAATTCTTTACATAACTTCTGGGTGTTTGTCCCTAACTTGACACCTTTATGTTGTCTACAAGACAAATCAACTACAGTGTGACATACTTTCTTAATTCCCAACTGCTCAGGAATAACTGGCCAATGGGGAGGTAGAGGCTATCAACAAATATGGCCTTATGATATATTCAGAAGTCGAAATTGAAAAGGACTGATTTCTAATGGAAGATGGTTCAGAGTGAAGTAAACCGTAAATCCCTCACACCTTTCCCTTCACCACCCCCCACCCACATCACACACACACACACACACACACACACACAGAGATATCCACCTTTCCCATCATCTTCAACTTACTATGTCCCAATCAGTCTGGACTACACCATAAATGAGGACATAGGAATGAAACAAACTTTCTTCCACTAACAGCTTCCTCCTCTCCCCCTTCAGCGCTGAGGCAGCCTGACAGTAAGTAACGAAGGCGTGCTGCCCCCAGAGGGACCCCTGGCCCCATCAGCGACAGCCAAGCCTACCCCAGTGTGTTACCTGTTAACTTTCAAAAAGGGGATTATCCGAACTCCAAGTCTGCTCATCCAGACTATACTTCTTAAAGGCTTATGATAATTCATCAAATATACTTCTTAAAGGCTTATTAAAATTCATAGTTAAAATCCTTATTTTATAAAACAACTAATGGGCATCCTTATGTTTTAAAAAATCCTTACGTATAAGACACAAAGTAAAATATAAAATCCTTATTTTATTAAAAAAAAACTAATGGAAAGATGAGATTCAATATACAAAAATGTCCACTGCAAGTTAGTATATTTAGAATGTATCACTTCCATTTGCTACTCTGAATATTCTCAATTGAGCTAGTATGACTGATTCAAATCACTGCTTCCTTCCGTAAATGGTGGCACCTTCAAAAAATGTTGCCTTGGAGGGGAAGTGGGTAATTTGTTCATGTCTCCAAACTGTACTAACAACACTCTATTAATCCTCAATCCAGTTCTGTCCTAAACAAGTTTGAGAAATGCAGTCATAACCCACATCTATTACTTTTCAAGACTAAGGTAAAATAAGGAAAGAAAGCCGGTACTGTCTAAATAACTGAGATATCCTATTACAAATGTTGAAAACAATCCATTTCCTCAACACTATAAATGCAGAGTTTTACCCAACCACGCCACTCTGCAAGTTCCACTCAAAGACTAACAAGTGACTGAGAAAGTAAAAGTTGTTTCTAGTAACACCGAGTCGAAGTAGCACCTTAAAAAAACTGCATTTGATTTCAATTCTCAGGAGGATTGCTTATTTATGGAACAGCTAACCTCCTACACTCAGAAGCATCAGACTCTTAAAAATGCATTTTTAAATCATATAAAATGTATCACATTTGTTACCATTCCAGTGATCAAGTAACAGACATGTACTTAGTGGTAGGCACGCAATTTCATTTATTCCTAAAAACACTGTAAAGATGCTACTACACCTTCCATGGCAGAAAAACCAAGCTCTGAAACGTTGAATGACCTGCTTGACGCTATACTGATCAATGCAAGTACGGGGACTTGAACCCAAATCTACCTAGTTTCAAGGAAGGTCTGTTCTTCTAAACTGTAAGGAATACAGAGTGTGAACAAATTTGTCCAGCAGTCTAAATCATTTCACCAAAAAAGGGGGAGAAAATTTCTAAATCAGAACCACCTTTTGAAATCCACAGTGCACTATTTAAACCTCACTGGTCTTCAGGAATTAACAGATTAAATAGAAAAGTTAAAGCCTTTTTAAAGTAAATTCCATCAGAGATCTTCAAGCAAACAGTCATTTTGGACAAGTCCCCGGAGTCAGTGGTTCTACGTGCACTGCCGCTAGTGAGTACAAAGCACTTCACCCAATTCAAACACTTACTGAACACCTGCACTGTGTTAAGACTCCTTCCTGGCAAAGAGGGCACAACGTTAAATAAGAAATAAGGCCCATCACAAGCATCGTGGAATCAGACTGAAGGAGGAGTTCCCTTATACTGCCTATACTAGTTACCACTAGTTAGGCAAAAAGTGAAGTGTGAGAAACCCTAAAACAAAAGTATGTACAACATGCTATCATCCTTCAGAGAAGGAAAGCAACTGGCCTATTTGTCACATTATGTCGCACTAGTGTTTATTCACATTTTGCTCCTCCCTGACAACTCCTTCCAACCCTGTCAACCTCCTGCCCCACACCGCCCCCCCACACGAGGTGCACACAACCTAAAAGGAAAGCCTAAAAAGCAAAGACTGACTCCTACAAGTGACCTTGTTGTTGCAGTTCCAAAGTACAATGCTTATGATTTGTTGATATATGCATTACACTTGATATAAGCATTAAAGAAATAAGGTACAATGCTTATGCCATAAGGACATATTTTTCTTTGGCTTCATCAGGTGAAGAAAGTTGGTTTTTTTTAAAAGCAAAATGAGGCCAACCAACCAGAAAAACCCAGAACACTTCTCTACATTACTCATTTAACAGAGAAATAAATTAAAGCAAACAGACACACACACTCTCTCAAAGTTTTCATTTAGCAGATGGCAAAGGGATGTAACAAATGATGCTAACAACGCTGGTCATTTTGTTCCACGTCGAATTTGACCAACGTTTAAGCCAGTTTCAGTTGGAGAACTTAAACAGAATTATTCTCATATGATAGGCTACATAAACCAAATTCAGTAGAATCACGCACTGAAAACTTAACAACAAGGCTTGTACTTAATGCATCTTGCAAATCCCCAAGAGACCAGGAAGGGCCTACAAGAACTGCAACAGTGATTTACCTCAGCTGATCCTAACTCCTTTACAAACTTGAAAAAAAAATCTTTCAAAAACAGCAGCATTTTTCTGATCTGGGCAACCCAATGCTTTAGAAAAACAATAAGCTGCTTCTTCTGAAAATAAAGGGGCAGGGGGAACTTTTTTTAAAAAAAAAAAAAAAAAGGGCACATTGCTTTTTCTTTTAGTTCTATATGCCTGGGGCAACAAACTCTCAAAATTACTTCACTGGAAAGTGCAAAAGCTGAGAAGGAACACCAGAAAACACAATCCAACTTGCACTGTGAATCCTAAATTCACAGTAAGATACATGTGATGGAATCATTTTGCTCTAAGAACTATTTCCAAAAGTCAAAAATTTAAAAAAAAAAGAAAAAAAACAACCCAAGCCTATCTATCCTTCTTCTAATGAAAACACATTTTGAGGGTTTTCCTCATATTCTTAAAACTCTTCTCATACTCCTTGACTTTGAAAAACAAGTGTCCGTCAGCCATATTGACAAAAAATAAAAGTTTTGGTTGGCCCCAAAGTAAGGCTGCACTCGAGGTCAGTATAGAGTGGAGACCGTAGCACGGTCCCAGGAAAGGTCCCCTCGGTCGCAGGTCTCCGACCCACAAGGGTCCGCGGCCGCGCCCCCGGGAGCCGGCTCCAAAAGCGCCCCCCGAAGGCGGGCGCGGCACGGCGGCGTGTTTACCAATCCGCCCCGTAGAGCTGCTCTCTCGCGTCCTCAGTACTTGTAAGCTGACTCGGTCGAAAGAGAAGGACCCCACGGAGGAGCCGACTCTCCCCGATCCCTGCGGAGCCGCCGGGGAAAACACGGGGCTGAAGGTCCAGGTCTGGAAGGATGGGGGGAACGCCCCCGAATTGGGCTGCCAGCTCTGCACGGCGCACCGTGGCCAAGGAGCAGACAATGCGGGAGGTGGGACGCGGCGGGAGGAAGGGGCCGCAGAGCCGGGGGGGTGGGGCGGCTGCGCTCCGCCACCGCCCATTCATCCCCTCCCGCTCGCGCGCGCGACCCCTCCCCGCCCCCGCGGTCCTTTTCCCCTCCCCCGCCTCGTGCAGCGGTCGCAGGGGAGGGGCCGGCGCTGCTCGCCGGACCCCTCCTCAAATCACAAAACTTCCCCCAACTCCGCCAACTAAGTTGCACTCTCACCGTGCGGCGCCCGGGGATCCCCCACGGGCCGATTCGGAGCAGCTCCGCACCTTCGCCGCAGAGATAGACAATAGGCGGCCGCTCCCGCGGCGGCGACGGCTTGAGACTGAGGCAGCGGCGGCAAGGAGCAAGAACCGCGGTCTCGGCGGAGCCCAGGATCTACTCCGCAGCTGCTTCTCCGCGCTGGCCCAGCACACAGTCGGACTCCGCCCGCGCATGCGCCACCAGCCGCTCGGGGATGGGCGGGCTACCCCGGGAGGGCAGTAACGCCGCTGAGCCCTCCCGTGAGGAAGCGCAGAGCCACGGGTTTAGAGCTGGGATTGCACAGCAGAGCTGCCCGTCAAGCTCCATGAGGCCAATAACGAGACACCTGGGCGGTGCGCTCCGGTTGCTAAGGAAACCTGAGACTACAAGCCACTGCTGTGCAGCTGCAAAGTGTTCGCAGAGTGATCGAAATAGGGTTGCTGGGCTACTCTGGAAAACGCCCACCCACCCTCTCGTCTCCGCCCTAACTCCGGAAACCGCCCTTCCTCTGCGTGCTGACACTTACCTGCACTCTGCACACATACTGAAATGACTTACCCTTCTATTTCCCTCCACTTAACATCAGAAGGTGCGGTTTAGTGTGCTCTGTGTCCAGTGCCTAGAACAACTATTGCTTGGGTATTCAACAAGTGTTTTACATGGGTGGATGGATGGACGGATGGATGGATGGATGGATGGATCTATGACCTCATCAGGATTGTGACAATGTATTCCAGGAACTTCGGGCTACTCAGTCACCACAAAATTAGACAGTCTTCAAGTTGCAAAGGATTTCAGAAATCTGGTGGCATTTGAAAAACAAACTGTGGTCTGTTGGGAAAGGAAAAAACTAATTCGTCAAATAGAAAGTTTAGGGAAAAAATGAGTCTACTTAAAGACAAATATTATGGAAAAGTGGAAACACTTAAACAGCTCAAGAATGGCTAACAAAGGCATAGACATGCGAAAATTCATGGAGAAAAATCTCTCCAGTTGATTTGTATCTCTCTAATTGATATACATAGGTTATTATACCTAAAAATATTACAAGGATAAACCCCATTTTACAGGGAGTCCCTGGAAATGCCAAAACAAGGAAAAACAATCATTTCAGTTGTGAGAACATAAATTTCTCTGGAGACCCATGGTTCCTAAAATGTCCACTTTCGTCAAAGAAGAAGCATTAGAACACACTTGTCCCAGGGCTCTTCTTTCACAGCAGTGAATACGTTATCGCGTTTGTGATACGAACAGTACCCTGATGTTACTCTGAGGGAACTTCCACTTTAGCCCTTTGCTTGGAGTGAAGTCAAATCCACCAAGACTTCAATTCCAATTCCATAGCTTCAGCACATGATCACATGTGAGGCAATCAATTCGTCTTATCTACAGGCAACAGTGATTAGTTCAGGGTTGGGCACATGACCCCAAACAGGCCAGTCAGGGTTAACAGGAGTAAATTCTACTCTCTGTTTGAGCAAATGCAAACATGTAGGCTATATCAGAAACACGACACACACACAAGACACTGGAGACAAACAGGTAGCAGGTGAAACTGAAGGAAGGCAAAGCCAGATTACACTGCCTTGCTAAGCAATACAGTGTTCATTCCAAAAGGCCAGGAGAAACCCCCAAAAGATTTAAGCAGTCTGTTGAGGACAGATTTTCATCTTAGATCACCCTAGCATCATGTTCTTGGGCTAGATTTAAGTGGGGGGTGCGGGAGGGGGGCAGGGGAATCCCTAAGAGATACCTGGCTCCACGTAGGAGGTTTTGTAATCCAGAGATGTTTTCACTCCTTGAGTGGCAGAGGGAAACTTCCTTCCTTCCTCAATGTCAAGCTCAGTGCTGCCCAACAGAAATATATGGTGAATCACATAGGTGACTTAAATTTTTCTAGTAACCACATTTAAACAGTAAAATGAATTTTAAAGAATATTTTATTTCACCAAATACATATCAAATATTATCTTTTTAACATGTAATCCATATAAAATCTATTGAGATAGTTTACATTCTTTTCACCATTCTAGTTTTCAAAATAATCCAGTGTGTATTTGACACCAATAGCACTTCTCAATTCAGAATAGCCATATTCCAAATTCTGAAAAACCACATGTGGCTGGTGGCTGCCGTACAGGTCAGCATGTCCGGTCAATTGATTCTGATACAGTCTCTATCTTGGAGTTGGTTTCAAACCACAGCATGTGCCTGGGGCCATAATTTCCACACTATGCCTCTTTCACTTGCATTAACTCATTTTTTTTTACCATCCTGGGCCGGTGCTATTTATCTCACTTTTAAAAGTAATTCATTAAGTAATCTGCTCCAAATCACATAGCTACCTGATTGGCATAGCTTATCTTCCAAAGGTTGAAAACAAAGGGAAAGTCACTAAATCCAATTTAGAATAGCACACTGACTAGGTCTTCCCTCATGGGGGCTCTCCTCCTACATTCAAAATTGTGAGTGCTCAGCCTACCCAGAGTAGATGCTTAGTAAAGAGCTAAACTAATCTCTTGTTTAGAATATATTTATTCCTGTAATTCATTTCAGAAATTCTGCAGGCACAAACTAAACAATGTTAAAGAAACAAACTAGAATTATAGGCTCGATTACAGATAAATGCATAGTAAATGGCATTTATCATGATTATTACCAGATGAGACAATATTAACATTTTTATGGACTCTGATGTATATTCATTTCAAACAGTCATACAGAAAGGTTATGCTGGTTTACATCCTTGCTCTTAGGGTGTCAGAGTACCTAACCTCTCTAATTTAAGTTCTTTTGGTATTAGACAGGAAGGCCAGAGCTCTAAAAGCAGCCAGGGCTGGGTTTGGATCCTGGACGCTCACATTCATTGTTTGTAAAGTGATCACTCCCACCTAATAGCCGTGCAATGACAAATACATAAAACAACATGTGCATAACACTTATCATATTGCCTGGCACGATGCAAGTGCTCTGTCCACTTTAACTTTCTCCTCTACTTCTCCCTTTGTAGAAAATAAGAAAAATACAGTCCAGGAACAGATATGATTATGCAGAAAAAATTCTATTAGAGAAATGTCAGAAAACATGGACCCTGCCACAATTGTAATAAAGAGTTCCCAACAAAAAGCGCATATTGTCATGTGTTGTCATGTATTGACTCCCCCAGTAGATATGGCAGCTACATTCTCTCCTGCTCTCAAGGGATTCCCTAGCCTTTAATTAATATATTCCAGATGTATCACTTAGTGATAGAACAATTTATTTAATTTCTGAAACCCTTGCTTTTCTCCATGATGGCCCTTTCCAGTAACAGGTTTGCTTAAAGTCTGCTCATGGGATCAAATTAAGCTTCTAAAGTCATTATATTTCCGATGGTAGAAGAGTTAGGGGCTGCTGGGTTGATGAAAGGAAGGGAATCACAAAAGCCTCAGGATTAAGGAACTACCCTGGCCTCAAAAATAAGTTATTGCCATATTTCTCAGTTGGCAGTCGAGAGAATTTAATTTTAGAATGTAAAAGAGTCCAGAGATTTCCTCCCAATAACTGCAAAAGAAAACCAGAGGCCCTTTTTGGGGTAGCATTATTTTGATTTGGTCAGGTTGGGCTTGGTGTTTACTTTAAGTGTAGGTTCCAGTGGAGAAGATGGGGCTGTTGTTCTGATTCCAGAGAGATTTATGGGCTGGCTCAAGGACTGCACATTTCATCCGATTGCTTTTCTCTTTATGCCCAGCCTTTTCCAGTTTACTCAGCTGCTCTCATAATTATCCCCAATTATTTATAATGGTAGGGTTCTGAAGCTACAGTGAGAGAAACGCCATGTTTTTTGAACCCTAAACTCTTTTTAATGGAAACAGACTCCAACAACTCATGTGAGCCCTAAACTCAGGTTTTCCTGGGCAGATTTTGAAAAATTTTTGTTTTCATCTCTGATACAATATTTTTCCCCAAAATTATATGGAGCTTGCAATATTAAAGAACAGAAGTCCTTATTTGTCCATAACTGTTACCAATAACTACAGTTTCAGCACAGCCTAAATTAGCTTTTGTTTCTTTTTTCTTTTTTTAAATCAATGGAATGACATAGCACTTGTAATTTTTTTTTTTTTTTTTTTGGTCTTACGATATACAAATTCCCAGATACCTAAGTACCTCAGAAAAGAGCTGGTGGATTAGAATACAATTGAGCCAGAACCTTGTTTTTTCCTGCTTTTTTTATTATCCAACGTATAGTTCATATGCAAACATCACCATTGGTCCCAATAAGGATCTTTAGAACTGTGCTTATTTTTCTCCTAGAGGATCGTATCAAGGCTCAGGCATTGCATCTATTAATAATGTCTCTATAGACTCCTTCAGTTTAGAAAGGGTTCTGTATCATTTTTCCTTTTCTTTTTCTTTTGGTCTTCCATGATATTGACTTAATCTAGGTCAATTGTCCTGTAATTTGTTATATTGTACAATCTGAATTTGTCTGATTGGTCCATCACTAGCAGAATCAGGTTAACTTTTTTTTCTTTTTTTTTTTTTTGCAATACTACTATATAGGTGATGTTAGATCCTTTTCATTACATCGCAACACAAGAGTTGGTTTGGTCCTTATTAAGCTAGTTTTTTTAAAAGTGCTTTCCTTGAAACATTAGTTTCTGGAGCTATTCTTTAGAAAAGCATCATCTGTTTAAGGGAAGAAAAAATGCTTTATATTCAATACCCTAGCCCTCGTTGTGCATAGTATCATCACATATTAATGCCCTGAGAAGTACTACATTAAAAAAAACTGTTTAGTTTTGTTATTCCCATATTTCTCAAAATTGTTTGATCATGAAACCAATTTCTCTTGGAAAGTGCATTCATATCTCACCAGGGAAAACTGGAGTTCTGTGGACAGAAGCAGGTGGGAGGATGCTGGGAAGGCAAAATCCACAGATGCTGGTCTCAACCATCTTCCCTCCCAAATTCACTTCTTTTGCTAGTTTGCATCCTTCAGTAAAGGTTACCAGGTGGGCTGAAACCATTAAGACCTCTGACACTGCCCTCTGCCCTGTCCCGAGCATCCAGACTGAAGCGAATGCTTTGATTCTCTAGCTTCACATGGCAAAATGTGTCCTCTGGCTTCTTCTTTCCTGCCCCTGTTGATATGCTTACCTGTGCTCCGAAGAGCTTCCCATTGCATCTCTTCCTGGCTAATTCT